AAAAAATAAAAAAAATAAAAAACTAGCCATTTCACATTTCACCGAATAAAAATAAGGCAGCGCTATTCACGAATCATAAAGTACCCTAAACCGCCCTCATACCTGAGCTTTCGGACTAGATAGGAAAAGTGCAGCGACAGTACACTAGAATATGAAGTGCACTGAATAACAGTTAAACTGCGGGAAGTGTATTGAAATACCTATTTCCCTCTTCCATTTCCTTTTTGATTCAGCCAAGGAACAAATCACGTCAAAATGTCTACAAGTGATGTCAAGAAGGAAGGATTTTGGACTCGCACTTTGAATTACGGCAGGACAGTGCTACCGAACACAATGAAAAGTGGAGTTCTGGGCATAATATCCAACAACAAAGTCACTTTAGCACACCTCGTCGTTGCTATGACAATGGTGGGGCTGGAGCTATTCCTTAACGCCGAGGTCTTCAACTGTCCGCTGAAGAATCACGTTTGCTATGGCTTGATGTTTCTTACGGGTCCACCCTGTATCATTTTCGTCGTCAATCTGCTCATCGTTGGTCGCATTTGGACACTGTCCAACAGATGTTGTGTAAAAGAGTACAGGAGGAAAGGCGAATGCTTCTTTTACGTTTTCCCTAATGTGGTGAAAGCGCTGGTTGGCGGGCTGGTGTGGCTGATGGTAGCATTCATTGACACGAGGTACTTTGTGTGTGCCGTGGTCGGACAGGATATCAACAAAAGGAATCTCACTGATAGCGAAGAGATCAAATCACTGCAACATCAAATTGACCATGCCAAAGGCTTATCACATGTGTTCGCTTGGGTTGTTTTCTTGGTCATGGTGGTATTTGGCGCTACAGTGGTAATTGTAAAAAGATGTTACAGGAAAGCCCATGTACTTGCAGCAGGTAATCACTGTACCAGCTCAGTGATTCAAGTGAAATATTTCATGGTATACCACGAGGAAGCATTTTATAACTATTTTATACCATGCCATAGAAAATACAGCGTCAACACAATCAATGTGACATACGCGCGAAGCATGATAGGAAGGTTGGATGTAATATCGTCGAATATACAACGGTTTCCCCGTGTTCGGATTGGCTGTATTTTTCTATGACATGGTATAAAAGTGAATATATGAAAGATATGAACTGCGGAGAAAGATATGAAGACATGATTTGGTAATTTCACAGCTGCTTGAAGTTGTGTGTATAAATGCGATGATCAGTCATGTCTTCATATCTTTCCCCGAACTTCAAATGTATGATCTTTCATGTCAGTTTATACCAGTAGTCACGAAAGGGCACTTTGACAACAACGTGTCTCCCCCAACAGCTCAACAAAGGGACCTTGGAATCCCCACCATTTCTGAGTTGCTCTGTGCCTCTGTGTCAAAACGAGTCTTCACGCCGAACTATTGAAATGTGTTCCGCCTACATGTTCATTTTTATGCAAATCAAACTCATTTTCATTTTTTTGAAATAAGACTCGTTTTGAAACAGAGGCACAAGGAAATGTCTCTACAAGTATCACGTATAGCTCACTTTACCCACAAGCCGGTGTATGGTCGTCAATTCATTTTCATTTTCTTTTTCTTTTTCACACTATTCATCTCCTGAGATAATTAAACTTTTGGATTTCTCTCATATATTGTAGATGGTTTTATCCTTGCGCAACGCGAAGCCATCGTTGCGTTAATGACCTTCAACGAGATCACAAATGGTTTGCGAGATGAATTAAAGAAAAGTGGTGTTGAAAGTGGAGATAAAACAGATACCAATGAAAACAAAACGCCTGATGCAGTTGTCCTTGAAAATGATGTATCCAAAGCCGAAAAGGATGATGACCCAAAGACGATGAAAGCCAATGAAAATGGAATCCAGTGGCTGCCAGGAAACCCGAAAATCCGGATTTATCCCGAGGGTATTCCCGAGACGCGTGGTCGACAGCATGTGAAAGAAATGTTCGAGTGCCATGAAAACGAAAATGACTGGGATTATCAAGATGCACTCAAGAAATTTAGGGAAATGTATCCCAGAGCTGCAACAGGAGACCCCAGGGATCCCTGGAGAAAGAAAGATGTCAAACCATGCTCGAGCACAAAATGTGACATAAAAGCAACAAGTAACAAGTAATAACAA